AAGTTATCCAGCCCCTCCTGTGATATCTCTACCACCAATTCATCGCTTGTTTTATGATGATACCCATGAGCTGGCACCAGTCCTAGAAAGATTTGTACTCTGTTTGCTGCGGAATGCTTAACCGGGCTAGAAAAAAAGCCCATCTGAAGACCTTTCAACCCCGTTTTATATTACTGCGTCGAAATCGTCAGCATTGGACCGTTTGGCTAACAATTGCATGGCCTTTTACAGATAGAAGAACTCTTAAAAAGAGAACTAGCATCTGGAGACGTACACTTCTCTCGGACTAACACTCTTTACAGTTTCAATAAGCTTTTCAAAATGGTCCTCCACAACCCGAATAACTGGCACTGGGTGAATAAGGATGTCTCTAGCTGGGCCAGAACCTATCTAGAGGAAAACTTGGTTGGAATTTCCGCTGAGGAAAATGGAGTGACTGCTAAGATAAATAAACTGGTCAGCATGGATGGCGACGTGGACGTCAGCCAGCGGAAAGGAAAAGTCATAACCCTCTTCGATGTCAAATTACAGCTTGACTATGAAGGTTTGTGGATATGCCTGCCTACCTACCCATCATGTCTTGCTTTTTCAGATAGCAATGCATACATTCAATTCGACCGTTCGTCAAGGTTGAGCTCTGGCTAAACGTTTATCTTTTCTTTGATTCAGGAACCACGAGTGAAAATGAGGATGTCACTGGTTCGATTAAAATCCCCGAGGTCGCCCATGACACCGAGGAAGATGAGTTCGTAGTATGTGAATCCCTTTGTTTGGACGAGCAATTCCCTCCCCCAGTTGTAAAATAGCCAATTCTTGTAACGGAAGCCAACCGTTTCTCCAACAGTTTGATACGAGCATATATTCCGAGACCGCGAAGAAGCAGCCCGTCAAGGACCTGGTTCGCGCGAAGATAGTGCCCCAGCTGCGCGCTGCTCTTGTCAAGCTTGGCCCTGCTCTGATCAATGAGCACGGAAAGGACATTCAGCATGCTCCTGGCTCCAACCCGTCCAGCGGCTTTGCTACTCCCACGACTCTTAAATCTTCTACCCCCCAGCCAACGAAGGCCGCCGCCACCACGACCACCACGACCACCACTACCACTACCGGAAAATCAGCCGTCAACACGGTCTCCGTGAACGCCTCCGACGAGTTCCGTACTACCGCCGAGCAGCTTTACACCACCTTTACGAATCCTGATCGCCTTGCTGCCTTCACTCGTGGAGCTCCTCGTCGGTTCGACGGTGCTAAAGTTGGTGGACAGTTTAGCATATTTGACGGAAACGTGGACGGTGAATATGTTCAACTTGAGGAACCCAGCCTTATCGTCCAGAAATGGCGACTGGCTCAGTGGCCTGCTGGTCACTACAGCACCCAAGAGATCAAATTTGTTCAGAACGATGTTGACGGAGTCACTGTTTTGAACGTGAGGTGGGATGGTGTCCCTGTTGGACAGGAAGATGTCGTTAAGCATAACTGGGACGGATATTACGTCCGCAGCATCAAACAGACTTTTGGGTAAGTCACTTCTTTTGCATGGTATCATGGGGGAATATAATACTGATCGGCTTCCAGGTTCGGCACCGTCCTATGATGACCCGTTGTGCTTAATTGATAGTCGTATAGTTGTCACGTTGCCCATGAGTTTGATGCTAGAAATACATGCATAGAGACACAGTCTCCAGTTTCTCCAGCCCTTTTAATTAGTGATAAACTTAGCATTGGCCCACCGGGTCATCTCCAAATAAAAACAAGCATATATTTTAGGCTGCCGTTAACCGAATTTCTCTCGAGTAAACTAGGACACCGATCAAATACATATCAAAGCCAAATAACTAACTATGCATGCCCTTAATATTATAACCCATGTATCAACCGGATATTCTCAGCATAAACACGCCCTTTGCACTGCAGGCCCAATCCCTAACCCTGGCTTCAGCATGTGAATGCTCGACAGAATCCCCAGATTAGTTTATGCGTGAATGTTGCACTGCATGAACTGAGCCCATGGATTCAACCTTGTTTTCGTCTCTTCCTTGGATGTCTCTGATGCAGCCATAGTGGCGACTGGCCCGGTGGCATGCGCTCTACTCCCGCTCTCGTGATGGACATTGCTGTCGTTGTCGATAATAATACAATAATACCCAGGACAAGCTGATCCCGGGTTGGGATCAGGCCTGCCAGGAGCTTCTTTGCCGCCTCGCACGGCTTGCATTATAAAACGAGCCAGCTCTTGCTTGACCTCGCACGAACTCGAATACCTTCGTTTCTCGCTCTGTCCCGCCTGAGCAGTAGTGAGGGAGCACAAACGCATTCGTTAGGCGGGAGAGACAAAACAGCTGCCGTCAACCTCGATCCCATCTTCAACAACACATTCGCGATGCGGGTAACCCGTCTGCTATGGTCTTCCCTGGTTATACCGGCTGCTGTGGGCTTTCAGGTTCGGTTTAAGCCGTCTGAGGATACTGCTCTCGACACCGTGGACGATGGCACACTGCAGAGCCTGCTCGATAACATCGGGTTGAACGGCTCGAATGCCTGGGATACGAGGCCGGGGTTGGTTATAGCTAGTCCTAGCAAAAAGGATTCAAACTGTATGCCCTTGCCCTTTGGCTTCTCATGAGTTGGTTACTAGCAACTGACATTCGATAACTATATGCGAATAGACTTCTTTACCTGGACGAGAGACTCGGCTCTAGTGCTTAAGTGCATTACCGACGCCTTTGCAGCTGGAAATACCGCTCTACAGGAGACAATCCACGAATACATCTCATCTCAAGCTCGCATCCAATTGCTCAACACCCGCTCTGGTGGTTTGTCAAGCGGAGGGCTCGGAGAACCGAAATATCATGTGGACGAAACCCCGTATAATGAGGACTGGGGCCGACCTCAGGCTGATGGGCCTGCGCTAAGAGCTACTGCCTTGATTGCATACGCAAGATGGCTTCTTGTAAGGATACCGAGCTCTCTTCTATTACTGAGAGCCCATTTCTCACCGTTCCATCATAGGAAAATGACTACTATGATGTAGCTAAATCGATTGTTTGGCCGGTTGTCAAAAATGACCTTTCATATGTTAGCGAACACTGGAACACTACTGCCTTTGGTACGTTCTTCTCAATTCCTCTATATATATGTTTATGTATAGGTATGTATGTATGCTGATATCAATCAACAGATCTATGGGAGGAAGTAAATAGTCCATCCTTTTTCACCACTATCGTCCAACACCGGGCTTTGGTGGAAGGTATAAACATGGCGCGTGCATTGGATGAAACCTGCCCTCATTGCGAATCTCAGGCACCCCAAGCACTCTGCTACTTGCAGTCGTACTGGACTGGATCCGCCGTCCGGTCGAACTATGGTCAAGGTCGCTCCGGGCTTGATGTAGCCTCTATTCTGGGCTCTATCCACACATTTGACCCCGAAGGAGAATGTGACGACACTACCTTCCAACCTTGCTCTGCGCGAGCATTAGCAAACCACAAGGCGGTCACAGATTCCTTCCGGTCCATCTATAAGATTAACGGTGGTATCAAGCAGGGCCAGGCCGTGGCCGTCGGCAGGTATCCCGAAGACGTATACTTTAATGGAAACCCATGGTATCTAGCTACTTATGCTGCTGCAGAACAGCTATACGATGCCATGTATCAGTGGAACAAGATAGGAAAAATCACGGTGACAGATGTTTCCATGCCGTTCTTCAAGGATATATACCCCGAAGTGCAGACAGGGACACACGAGTCTTCCAGCCCGGAGTTCGGCAATATAATAGCCGCAGTAAAGGCTTATGCAGAGGGGTATATTGAAGTTGCAGTAAGTTGCTACTCCAGAGCTGGATATTCCCCCGGCATTGGCTGACCCTATCCTAGAAAAAATACACCCCGTGCACAGGAATGCTTTCAGAGCAGTTTTCCAGAGATAATGGAACACCACTATCTGTGGCGGATCTCACTTGGTCATATGCATCGTATCTAACCGTAATGGCCCGACGCAATTCCGTCGTTCCGGCTTCGTGGGGAGAGAAGAATGCCCGAGATATCCCATCTACTTGTGTGCCATCATCGGCAACCGGGCCATATCAAACGGCTACTATAACCTACTGGCCACCAAACCTCACCCCCACCGCTCAGCCGTCGCCCTGCCCTACGGCCTTGCCAACAAAGAACAATGTCCGCTTCAGATTGCTCGCTACGACACAGGTGGGCGAAGACGTCTTCCTGGTTGGATCTATCCCAGAGCTAGGCTCGTGGGACGTCAAGAAGGCTGTTCCGCTCAATGCCGACATATATGCAGACAACTGTCACCAATGGTATGTTGACATTGAGCTTCCGACTGCCGTGGCTTTCGAGTACAAGTTCATCCGCAAGAGAGGAGGAGAGGTGGTGTGGGAGCAGGATCCGAATCGGAAGTACACTGTACCTCAGACCTGCGGCGTCTCGGGGGCGATTAAGAGAGACACCTGGCGATAGATAGCCTTTTATCAAATCAATATCCTATTCTACACATCCTCCCTCAACCCCGACATCCCGATCTACAGCCAAAAGCTAGGTAGTTAGCCGCGCTCTATTAAACTCCGACTCGCCGGACTCGGGATTATGATTATGTAATATCCTGTTGGTCCGAGAGTCGAACCTTCTTTTTTTTAACTTTAAACTCAAAAAAAGCAAGCACGGACATCAGATATCTAGATTCCTCGCCAGCCACGCCCTTGTCCTCCTCCTCATCCTCTCACAGCCAACATCACCACGCACGCGCGGAGCTTGGAGCTCGTATTCCCCCATCCGCTTAGCGAGACGACAGGGGCTGCTAGAAGAGCAGACATTGACTATAAAAGGCCTACTCTCCTCCCCTCTCCTCCCCTCCTATCTTTGACTGTTCAGTTTCATCTGTTAACTCATCTCCTCACAGGTTTGCCCTTACACTTCTACGACAAAACCGACAACCAGCACTGATACCCTACGAAGAAAAGCCAGAAAAAAAAACACCAATATACCCAAGATATGGCTTCAGTTACCCCTGTTCCCAAGACTGGACGCTCAGTCAACCAGGACGTGCCGGCATCGACGCTGACGCTGCAGACGCGTCCCACGCCCGTCCCCAACTTCGACGAGGGCGAGCATCTCATCCGCGTGCACGCCACCGCGCTGTGTGCAGGCGAGCTTTACTGGCACACCTACGTTACTTTTACCAAGGAGGAAACCGTGCCCGGACCAGACGTGGCAGGCACAGTTGTGTTGGCCCCTCCTTCCTCGCCATTCAAGCCAGGTGATGATGTTTACTGCCGCATTCCTTATTCGCGTCCGGGAGGTGCGAGGGACCACACAATCGCACTTACCTCCGAATTGGCACGCAAACCAAAGAATTTGACCTGGGAAGAAGCCGCCACCGTGCCTCTGTCCGCCCTTACCGCCTGGCAGGCACTTTTCGATCAATCCGGCTTGTGGGAGGGGCCAGAGGACGAGAGAGTGAAAGGGAAGAGAGTTGCTGTCACCGCGGCGTCGGGGGCAGTCGGGATGTGGATTTTGCAGTTTGCAAGGATCGCTGGGTTCGAGGCTGTTATTGGTACGTGTGGTGATGGAAATGAGGACTTTGTCAAGTCGATGGGAGCCACGGACGCCGTCAACTACAAGACAACCTCATTGACCGCGTGGGCAGCAGAGAAGCAAGGACGAAAGGCTGATTTGGTGATCGACTGCTTTGGAGGAAAGAGCTTGGCCGATGCTTGGGGCTGTGTCAAGGATGGTGGTGTGCTGATCAGCATGGTTGGATATCCGGAACAGGAGAAGCCAGCAGGGCTTGAGGTGAAGGACGTGAAGAGCCACTTTTTCATCATGGAGCCCAGGGGTGATCAATTGCAGAAGGTTACAGAGTTGGTGGAGCAAGGCAAATGTTCTTTCTTGATGGACAGCGTCTACCTCTTGGAGCAATTTCAGGAGGCTACAGACAAAGTGGAAAGCCGACGTGTCAGGGGCAAAGTGGTGTTGAAGGTGCTTTAGGGGCTTCATGATGAACAAGTGGTTCGGGGGGGAGGGTGTTTGGTGCTTGGAATGGAAGAGTGAAAAAAGCCCATCGACGAGTCCAACCGCATACGATACGACGACGAATACGACTACATAGTGGTGAGAAAGATGGGGGTGCGGTGGAAAGGAGGATAAGGACAAAGGGCGTTGAAGGGAAACGAGTTGATAAGAAGATGTGAAAATACGACCTGGCTGAGGCTCACTAAACGACGACTTGACGTTGAAGTTGATACCACAAACCACAAGCCAACAATCCGCCAATAAGCCATACAAAGCATCCATCAAAGCTTTGCAAAGGTCAACAACAACAGCAACAAAAAAAACCAGAACCAAAACCAAAACCAAAATCAAAAAAGACAAAATCGAAAAAAAAAAAATTAAACAAACCAAAAATACCAAAACCCAAAATCCAAAATCCAGAAACAAAAACAAACACCAATACAAGAAACAAACAACAAAGACCAAAAAAGGATTTAAAA